TTCTGTTGTTAGGATGTGCAAGGAACCAATTTATAACTAGAAGTGATCGGTAAATTTCAGCTAATTCACCCATAAGTTGTTGATTTACTAATCAATAAATATAGATCTCTGATTCACCTGAGCATTGAGATCCACACCTTCGATTGATCACTAAGTTTCTGACGAATTTTAAAACCCATGGATAATCCCTATCTAAGCACTAATGAAGACAAAACACGTAGTTCAGCGAAGAGTCTCTTCTTGGCAACGAATTCATTTTCATAGCTGTACAACCGCAAATACATATGCAGGTTATTTTGTATGTGTGTACATTAAGTTTGTCAAACAAAATTACAACTGGTTAACTAGACAGGTGAAGATTAGGGTAATTGAAATTACGTAATACGAAATCAGTCAAGAAAATTAGGTGTTAATGTAACTAGTGTAGTAATAAAGGTGATAAGTTGTCACAAACAGTTGTTAAAAAAGAAATTATGTAATAATATGAATAGTTTGATGGTTGAGTTGTACTCAGGATGCACATAGAAACAAAGTAGATAATACAAAATTGCGTAGGAGTTCTAAATGAATAGAAGAATTATGAGGAATAAAAGAACAAGCAGACAAACAAAATTAAGTCATCAAAATTAACAAAGTTGTTATCATGACAGTAGAAGTGATTGAGTATTCTCCTTTGTATGCACTTCTATGTGCGTATATCAGTTCACCTGCTGCTGTGGAGCCAGCTAGCTACATCAGTTGTTCGACGTGCATCCTGTCCAGGAGGATTCAAGAACACTATCCAGCCAGCATGGTTTAGAAAAGGCAATAGTGGTGCAATAAGAAGTGCGATAATTGAACACCTGGGGTTAACATCGATCATTCCATTTCAACAAACACCTCCTGCTTCAAAGTAATCTGCAGAGTCAAGAATAACTTACCAGAGGCCATACAGTTTTGTCTTCTTTGTATCACTGAAGCTCTGACCATTCACATAGAAAAACCGGAGCTGCGTATACAAAAAGAGAATTACTCAACCGCTTCTACTGTCATGGTAAAAACTTTGTTTATTTTTGTTCGCCTGTTTCCATAATTGCTTATAGTTCTTGTATAGTCATTTAGAACTCTTACATAATTTCGTTCTCTCTGTATTGTTTGTTTGCCTGTTCTTTAATTCCTTATAATTCTTCTATTCATTTAGAACTCCTACGCAATTTTGTATTATCTACTTTGTTTCTATGTGCATCCTGAGTACAACTCAACCATCAAACTATTCATATTATTACATAATTTCTTTTTTAACAACTGTTTGTGACAACTTATCACCTTTATTACTACACTAGTTACATTAACACCTAATTTTCTTGACTGATTTCGTATTACGTAATTTCAATTACCCTAATCTTCACCTGTCTAGTTAACCAGTTGTAATTTTGTTTGACAAACTTAATGTACACACATACAAAATAACCTGCATATGTATTTGCGGTTGTACAGCTATGAAAATGAATTCGTTGCCAAGAAGAGACTCTTCGCTGAACTACGTGTTTTGTTTCCATTAATTTAAAAGTATTTTATTTTTATTTTATTTTGAACTGTTAAAAGTCTTCTGCCGAAGATGTATACCCCATCTTTTTTCCATTGGAGTAGTGAGAGGAATTTTATATCTTAACTCGAACAACTGTGATTGTGTTTAGGTCTGTAATCAACTATTGTGTAAGATTTCCGCTCTCCAACTTTTCCATTCATTTGTTCATCGGGGGATTGTTTACCATAACATTGGCTGATGCCAGGCGCACGTAAAACCACGAATTGGATGATGTTAGATTTCATAGGCCATTGAGTCGAGTCCCAGTGACTTAATGCTCTACGAGTTCGCCTGGTAACTGGAAGGTCCTTTCCTCCGTTCGAAACACAATGGTGGATGATGCGATCTGCCAGTGGGTTCCAAACTAAGACGAAACACCTGTTTTCAGTGCTTCTCTTACTGATATCAGTTCTTGACCAAATTTGTGACCATGTTTCATTGTACTTTTATTAGTGCCGCTATATGCTTAAGTTTACTTCAAGAATCCTGCGTACTCCCGTGTACAAGTTGCAGTTAGTACTCACTGTAAAAATCAATTATTTAATTCATTTACAAAAGGTTAAGGTTTCTCATTTGACAAGTACAACCTGACTCATAGTTTCACTACTGTATTATGTGGTTTGTAAACTGGGTGTACTCACATTCTATTGGATGAGAAATGTTTGCTTTAAAACCCAAATCTAACACGCAAGAGATTAGCAAAGATTCTCTTCAACACAGATGCAGGGGTAAGGGAGTCAAGTCGTCTTTCAGAATATTGACATTTCTCTAGCCCATAGAAATCCATGATTGAATAGCGAATTCTAATGATTAATTCTCATACGATCGGTTCTACTTGAACTCACCTATCCTAAATAGAGAATTCGCGTATCAAGGTACGAACGACGCTTATCGTGCGTGTGAGGGGGTATGATTATACTACGCAGTGAGTAGAACCGTATTCCACCACAGATGCCATCTGCTGAAAATAGACCACCTAAAACCAATCAATCTGTCATGTCTCCACCCACCCTTATGCAATAATTTATGTTCACTAAAGATCCAGTGCTGTTTGCATACTCAACTCATGGGAAGAAGAAGAAGCGAAAATTGCTCAATTTTTCGTAAGGAATCTCTGTTTGAGATGGTGTGTTGTTTATTTCTTCCTGAACAATTAACACTGCTTCCAAAGCAATGATTATGATTGTCGTATTATGTTCTATTCTGTTTAATCAATGAAGTTCTGTATCCTCCTCACCTTATCGCCTGTTTGCTTAAATTAATAAGTGTTATGTACTGCTGCTGAGTGAGTTATTAGAGTTTTCCCCGTCGCCAATTATGTTATGTACTCGTCGAGTAGTTAATAGTCCTGACGCAGAAAGAGGGAAATCAGAAGACCACGAGGTTTACGATGATAATTGTATTTTCCAGACAAGGAAAATAAATGTCACACAAGAGTGTGAGTGCAAGGGTACTTAGATGTACGAAAAAGTTTGTGAACAAGAGTAAACAAGAATGATAAAGCAAGAGTATATATGAAAATGGCTAATACACATGAACCAATAAGATAACGTCTTGTCATGATTGGTTGTAATGTCATGTGATAATAGGGTCATACATTGTTTATTTAGTTAGTGGACAGACAAAAGCATAATGTCAGTTATAATGGAATATCGATCCATGTACACAGCAAAATATAATAGACTATCAAGAACAAAACACACACATCATGTGGATACATATCAATAAGTACTTTTCGAACCAGCAGGTTAATTCCAGAAAGACCGAGGAAAACAATATTCCCATTTATGAGTACGCCTATTTTATAGGGTAAACAAAACCAGCTACCATGGGGGTATCTGCAGAATACCACTCAATAGGCACTGGGAGACGATCTGTTAACTCGTGTAAAGTCCTACACCGTCAGTAAGTGAAATCTACACTAGCTCTGGACTTGTTCATGCATTCATTCATTGTCGCATCATTCTATAGTTTGCAATGCGCTTACCAGCTGAGTTGCCATCACCTCCAACTTTCCACTGATATTAAATGGTTGGAGGCAATTAGCACAAGCCCCCGTCAACCCATCCAGGTTCTATGCTTGTTCACACTCATCAAAAAAGTGTGTCTTCAACATTGATGCAATTCACATCGCATGTCAGATACGAACCCTCGTCGCCCAGTCTTACAATCAAAGAAACCACAAGTGAGTTATTCGGAATCATCACCGAACAACTATCTAACATCAATCCAGAACGAAGAGCGATGGCAAATCACCTAACCCTAGTGACCACATTGTAAACTAGACTGACAGAATCCAGTCAGTGATAACACCAAGGACTGGACACGCATCCACTGGTAAATCCCACAGAGAATCAATTGTGAGTCCTACCAGGTTCGGTAATAATCCCTCTGACTACAGCACTACTAGGTCTTGAATACCCCTTGCTTATTGACGAGTGCCAACAAGCCACAGTTGCCTGCATTCAACACCAGCCTCAAGGTTTCCATGATGATATTACACCATTTTTACCATATAGCCACAACCTGGGTGGAGTCATCGATGATTAAGGACGGAATATTTAGCAGGTCGCCCGTTGACCTTCATGAGGCTTATGATACACAACTTTGAGAAACCGTAACCAACCCCAGGTGGAAAGTATCATTGAACTCAAGCACGACTAATTAACTAGTCACAAAACCCGGAATCGTTTTACACATTTGATGATTTACTATATGGGGTGGGTTTGGAATAATAATATGAATCATACACGAAGCACCCACAAATGTGGGGGCCGAGTAAACAAGATTTCGCGTGTAATTGCAATAAATATTACCAAATCCCTGCTCAACATTCAATCATCAACATGAATAGCTGACTGCCCATTCCAGTATTCCCGTGATGAAGTAGGTCAGAGTTAGAATGCGAGGAAAGTAGTATATCAGTCGATAAGATTGTACAGTAATGTTAGAAATGGGATGCTTTATACGCACTAGGACGTCATATTCCCGAAAAACTTGAATGTAGGCCCCAGTGTAGGGCTAATTCAGACAACTATCGGTTTGATAGAGACACTGGATACCCCCACCGTTGAAGTCCCTGAGGTATCTATCAAACAATCCAACAAATTGACAGTATGACAACTGAACTCATGTCAGATAGCAACAATAATGTACACGTGTCTTCTATTTTCACGATCACCGAACGAAAGAACTGGAACAATCACGGTTTTTCGTGATCCTTCGTTGGTCGTGTGTCGTAGCAGGAGCAGTAGTATTTCAAAAAAATTCAACAGTAAAAATACGAGTTTATATTGAACAATATTCATATTAGACACACACACACACAATCATCAAGGAAATATTTACAGTTGATCAGATCAATACATTTCACTGTACACATGTTGAAGAGAATTGAAGGACGATATCAAAAAAGGTGCATAGAACACTTCAATCAGACAGATGACGAAGAAAAAGAAGTTCTCTCTACAATTTGGTTTAAATCAAGTAGTACTTTGTTCAGTTGTTCAAAGGATATTTGACATTTTGAAACCTACAAAAAAGCGGGAAAGGAATGAAAAAAGAAATAATTTCCAGCTATGCATGCATACAAGAGAGGAGAAGGAACATACACAAATGAATTAACTGAAAACTCAATTGTGTTTTTTCATAGTTTGTTAACAGTCGTGGTTTTAGAATATATAACTAGGCAGAGTCTGGGAAGCGCAGAGGAAGTCCTGTCGGGTTGGTGTAAGTCACTGATTATCCCCATATTCAGTTCCTTGGGGACAACATCAGCGAGATACTAACACAGCGGCTTAGAAATGAGGCGGTAAAAAGGGCATTCCCAACTGCTGCCGAATTACGCTAAGTCTTCAAAACCACTCCTCTATTGCCTTCTTCCATGTGTGTGTATCTACCAATTTAACTGCTCCTGTGAAGGGAGCCAGTTACATAGGCCGTACAATTAGGTGTGTTTCTCGTCGGATTTCCGAACATCACCCCCTGTGTTGTTGGTTAAGTAAAGGACAAACAAAATCTATTCACATAGCTCTATTCTATCTCATCTTGTGAATACAGAACACAAGATTGATGTCAACAAGGCGGCTTTCAAAGTCATTTACCGCAAACCAACAAAACATAGCTTCGCCTTAAGAGTTCGACTACTAAATATTGCTGAGGCAGGCTGTTGAGATCCATATTAATAAGACTAATTTAGGTGTCCAAAAGAAGTTGGTTCAGACATTATCCTTACCTTAGCCATTTAGGTTTGAATGATCCTGAATTTTTGTGAAATTTTTCTAATTTTAGTTGATATTCTAGTTGCTATTATATTATTATTATTATTCATGCATCTTTGATGAAATCTAATTTAAATGATCTTACTTTACAAAACGACATTATTTAAAAACCACCAATATTGTTATTGACTACTATTCTAGAACATTCTGTGTATATTACCACATATATATAATTGTAGAGCCAGAAGAGGAATTTATCGAAAGGATATTCTTTGCTCAATTATTTTGTGACTTTCATAGATGTCTGAATGAATATTTCTGCTATAATATTTTCATATCTAACTAAATTGAAGGATATTCATGTTAAAACCGGTGGATACACATATTTGTTATCACATATGATGCCCTATGCTTTCACACAAATCAGCACTTTTATGACTGACTGAACGACTGTAAACTAATTTCCACATACACACTGACAAGTAAAACCATCCATTAAATATTCCTCTTACTCAAAATGTGCGTTTCAGGAAGCTAATACACCCGTAAATACCGACTAGTTGTGAGGGAACGCCGCAATATTAAAACCAACACAACATTCTAATCCTCTGAAGTTAGGTCACGAAATGACTGACGTCACTCAGTCACACAGTTACTGAAAACTATTACCAAAGGGATGTTCACCACTTCTTGGTGCTTTTGAATATTTTCCCTGAACTCAAATCTCTTTCGGATGGAACTCGGAATCAACCCAATCTCCCCCACCCGCCCCCCGCCGCCACCGCCCGAAAACTAACACATTTCAAAGTTATTCTTATTACCTCCTGAAGTTCCTTCTCTTCTTCGTCTATCTGTTTCATTGTGCATGAGATGCATCGAGTAATACCAGACAATTGTTTCGCCAAAGCTTCTTCTTCAGCTTCAAAGGAATTAATCTTTTTTGATCTTTCTTCATTATCAGATTCATATGCCTAGTAAGCAGACGGAGCACAGGGAAACATAAACATCATAAACAACAATATTGGTAAATTATACAGAATAGTAAAAATAGGTGTTCACACTAATGACAATGAATGCTCATCAATGATAAAATATATTCTTTGTCGAGAAAAAAGAGGTCTCACTGAATAACACATATTAATGTACTGTTTGTCCCATTGTCCATCTGTCTGTCTGTTTTTGACATAGAACTTCGCACCGATGTGCGGAAGTTCAAGTCGCCACACTCCATGTACCACACAAAGTAAGAGAAGAAATTACAAGAAAACCATAACAGAGACAGTGTAAGCACAGGTGTGAGACAAAGGAAGAGTAATAACGAAGAACAAAACAGTTTCATTAGAAATCATAAGTCACAAGAGTGGATGCATCTGCGCCACTGAGAACGATTTTGAGCCATGTCACCAACTGTTTCCAACCATTGGTTTTTACCGTCCCGAGGACCTTAACCAGGAAGTCTACACTTTCCTATGTGGCTGGCTTACACTAACTGTTGTAGATTTCATTGACTGGTCCCATGTTTTCTTTTGACCTCCGCTAGCTTTTTTCCAGCCTGACCATATATCCGCTAACATTGCTCGTCGAGGATGGCGATGACTAGGCATACGTAACACATGTCCTAACCATCTCAGTCTTTGTAACTTCACAACTTCGTCGATTGATTTCCCCTGTTTACCTAGAACTCGACGCCTAACCTCAATATCGCTCACCTTATTATGCCACTTTACACGGGACATAGAACGCAGGCATCTATGATCAAAGACAGCTAATCTTTTCATGTCTTCCACTCTCAGTGGCCAGGTCTCACAACCATAAAGGAGGACGGAGCAGACTGATGAGCAGTACACCCGCCCTTTGGTCGATAGTCGAACATCTCGTCTACGCCAGAGACGGCGTAAACTGGCATATGCGAAACTAGCCCCTTGTATCCGTGCTTAGATTTCGTCAGAGATCAACCCGTTGGGGCTGATGGTACTTCCCAAATAAGTGAAGTGGTCAACGTGCTCTACAACTTGACTTCCTATTTTTAAACTAGGAGTCGCCGCAGTCCAGTCTTGTAACATCATCTTACATTTGGCGGGGGAGAATCGCATGCAGCTCAAGGTGTTTAGAAGACTCTGCATTTTTTCAGCGTCCTCGCCTAGCAGCACTATATCGTCTGCATATTCTAAGTCAACGAGATTATTCCCTGGTAGCAAGTCAATCCCTGAGTCGCTGAAGTCACTTAGGGTTAAGTTCATTAGTACATCTATGATGAAGTTGAATAGAAAAGGGGATAATGGGCATCCTTGACGGACACCACTAGTCGTCTCCATTTCAGATGACAACTCGCCGTAAGCCCTCACCTGGCTGTATGAGTACGAGTAGAGTGCCTTAATCAATGCAGTGTATTTTCTCGGCATTCCCTTTACAGCCAAGCATCTCCAGGGAACCTCTCGGTCGACAGATTCGAATTCCGCCTTTATTTCAAGGAATATAGTGATTGTTGGGCGCCGGTGGTGAGTATGCCTATGTTCTAGAATTTGTCGAAGGATGAAGATATGATCAATACACCCTCTTTTGTCCCATTGAGCAAGAGATATAGTCTCATCAACAATATCAACAAAGTGTAAGGTTGGTAATAACTGCAAAAGACAGCGTTAGTTGTTCAATGGCAGGCGGCTTGACGTGATAACCACAATCAGACAAAAGCAGGTTACCACAAGTGCCATCTTAAACCTCAACTATAGTTTACTATACTAGCCGTCTAGCAGTCTAATGTCGTCAGTGTAGTAACCACCACCTCATCTCATAGATAAATAACACCAGCCACCCTGAAACTCTTAAGTTCCGTTCTACTCCGAACGTAGGGGAATAAACAAAGCAAATAGTTCTCAAGGGATGAACCTTTTTATTCTTCACTCAATAAAAATAAGGTTTACAGGATTTCATCAAGATGGATAATAATAATAATAATAATAGCACTAGAATAACTCATTACACACACCACACCATTGATGACATTCGACTTCAAGGCAAGTAAGATGGTGTTTCAAGATGACAAAACTCATCAATAAATAGCGAAATCTATCAACAACAGTCATGCAACCTTAATCAGTAGTTGAATGGTCACAGCGCTGGACTCGTAACCTGAAGAACCCGAGTAGCATAGACCCCTAGAAGCATGCATTGTGCGTGCGTGCACTACTGCTGAACTGTCCCAAAATAATGCACGACGACGAGACAGCTATCCATCCAATTTTCCCTGATTTTCAAACACTCGCTGACAATTTAATCAGGCGGAAGGGTCGATTACATTAGCTCAACACAAAGAGGGAGAGATACAGATAGACAGACAAAGTTAAATAACAATGTGGAGACGTGGCGGCTCAACGGTTTCACCACCTACTCGACTTTTAGTCACAGAAGGCTCTCACAGTTCGAATCCTACTCCACCACCTACTACTTTGGTGCGACCTAAACTTACCAACTAACTCGGTGGCACAGTGCTTAGGACTCTCGCCGACCATGCACATGGTTCGAGGTTCAATCACCTGCCGACGTACACCTGAAAAATTTGGGCTACCGATATCCATGCTGAAAATTCCATACTTGTACCAAAAATACAGTGTGGAATCAGGCTGTAATCAAAGATAAAATGAATAAATAGTATCATCAGCTCTCCCTCACAGAACAAGTGTGACGGGCGACACACAGTCACAAAGAAGATGAAAAACTTCTTCTAGGAATTCGATTCAAACAACGAATAACTGTAAAAGACAGTTGTTGCTATTTTTCTTCCCCGTCTTATTATTATTATCACTGTCATCATTTTTTATTCCTTCACGTTCCCCAGTGGAACATAACGAGGGCTTCAAGCTAGAGGCTTGAAGTTTCTGTAGCAGCGTTTTTATTTTTACAGGATGGGGTTGCTAGCCTCATGCCCAATCTTTCCTCTTTACCAGCTTTTATTTCTGGCAAAGTGAGGTAAAGGAGTGCGTTGGTGGCCGGGGATCGAACTCCGGACCATGTGTATGGTCGGCGAGCGTCCTAACCGCTGTGCCCCCGATGCACATTATCATCATTAAACTAAACTCTAATCGATGGAGTATAACAGAAAAGCTGACAATACACGCTGGGGGAGAGTATTATAAAATATATATGTGTGTGTGATTTACCTTCTTCCTGTTATTCAATAACAACCTCCTTCTCACTGTATGTGAGTGATATTCAGCGAACTGTGCATCTACTTCTTCCACTGCCGCCTGCATTTTCTTATTATCTTTGTTTAGTAAATCCACCTTTCCTGCATATTCCTGGAAAACAAATAAAGCAATAAATAACTTTGAAAAATCACAGATAAATGCATAAATCGTACATAATGAGCATAAGACAAAAAAAATGCAACAAAAGAAATGTTAACTCACCACTCACAACATTTCAAATTCAAAGCAATTCAATCGATCAGCAGATGATCGATCGATCACGAACTGATTGACTTCGATTAGACAATCAGTGAAAACCAACGCGGAGTGCTTGACATCTGATGCATCATTGTCTGGGACTTCTCTCAGTAGTACACACTCATCACTCACATCAAATATAACAAATCATAAAACCCACGCGACGACCAACAAGTTAACAAGGCCAGTAAGTATACAGTATTCAGTCACAGGGAGGGAAGGAAACCAATAACTTGTGGACTGACTTCTGTCACAATTCACGATACACCGCCATCATCACCACCACCACCACAAGGTAATGTCATCAAGGAGTATCAGTCAGTCAGTTCTCACACCCAACTACTTCGTGCATTAAGGCACTCTATTCGTACTCATACAGCCAGGTGAGGGCTTACGGCGAGCTGTCATCTGAAATGATGACGACCAGTGGTGTCCGTCAAGGATGCCCATTATCTCCCTTTCTATTCAACTTCATCATAGATGTGTTAATGGACTTAACCCTAGGTGACTTCAGCGATTCAGGGATTGACTTGCTACCTGGGAATAATCTCGTTGACTTGGAATATGCAGACGATATAGTGCTGCTAGGCGAAGACGCTGACAAAATGCAGAGTCTTCTAAACACCTTGAACAGCAATCTACGAATGTTTGGCATGCGATTCGCTCCCGCCAAATGCAAGATGATGTTACAGGACTGGACTACATCGACTCCTAGTTTAAAAATAGGAAGTGAAGTGGTAGAGCACGTTGACCACTTCACTTATTTGGGAAGTACCATCAGCCCCAACGGGCTGATCTCTGACGAAATCTCAGCACGAATACAAGGGGCTCGTTTCGCATTTGTAAGTTTACGCCGACTCTGGCGTAGACGAGATGTTCGACTATCGACCAAAGGGCGTGTGTACTGCTCATCAGTCTGCTCCGTCCTCCTTTATGGTTGTGAGACCTGGCCACTGAGAGTGGAAGACATGAAAAGATTAGCTGTCTTTGATCATAGATGCCTGCGTTCTATGTCCCGTGTAAAGTGGCATAATAAGGTGAGCGATATTGAGGTTAGGCGTAGAGTTCTAGGTAAACAGGGGAAATCAATCGACGAAGTTGTGAAGCTACATCGACTGAGATGGTTAGGACATGTGTTACGTATGCCTAGTCATCGCCATCCTCGACGAGCAATGTTAGCGGATATATGGTCAGGGTGGAAAAAAGCTAGCGGCGGTCAAACAAAAACTTGGCACCAGTCAATGAAATCCACAACAGTTGGTCTTAGCCACGTAGGAAGGTGTAGACTTCCAGGCTGGGGTCCTCGGGACGGTAAAGACAAACGGTTGGAAACAATTGGTGACATGGCTCAAAATCGTTCTCAGTGGCGCAGATGCATCCACTCCCTGTGACTTATGATCTTCAATGAAACTGTTTTGTATTTCTTTATTACTCCTTTCTCTCACACCTCTGCTCACTGTCTCTATTATGCTTTTCTTGTACTTTGTTCTCTTGCTTCGCGTGCTACACGGAATTTGGCGACTTGAACTTCCGCACATTTGTGCAAAGTTCTATGTCGAAAACAGACAGACAGACAGACTTCGTGCATCTGCCTACTCATGACTCTAACCAATAGAAAGAACCACAGGCAACTCTATATCCTTCACTCATGCTCAACAGTCATCACCAACTGATTTCAATTAACAATCAATCGATTCCCTGAAAACCAACACTTCACAATTCCATTGACTTTTGCTTATAACTGGGATGGATGCAAGCGCCCACTAAACCACTAATTCTCTAATCTGAATCAGAGCTATTTATTATGTTAGTTAGTTTTTTTTTCTCTCAAATCACATACTTTCACAGTAACGCCATGGATTCTTCCCAGAGGACCGCACACTATTTCTATTTATTATTTAGGACCATTGTGAGCTGTCAGTTGGCATCGTTTAACGGTAACAACTACAATGGTATCTTATCATCTTGGAAACTCTGAATTCCGCTGTAGTTTGTCTGGAAATCAATCAAACCAGAATTTCACCCTCCTAAACATAACACATCTGAACACCATTTGTATTATTGATATAATATATTGAACTTGTGCCCTGTGGATAAAATTTAATTTGAGAAAGTCTCATAGTGTTACACAGTAATATTAACTGATGACGTTTCGAGCACAAACTATTACTGATTATAATCATATCAAGTTACACACACACACAACTATTTTTCCTTCATTTATATACATGTGTGGAATCGATTATTACTGCTAGTCAAATCGGAAGAGGATAATATATAATCCCAAAATTCTATTTCAATTCCATCACATCACAACATTCTAACAAGTTACTCATTATAACTATAAAAACAACCGTTTTATTTCCCAACTGATTGTAATTGATCAATAACACTCATATTAATAATTCTGAATGCACATTATCCTATATTGATTTTTAATCCAATATCTAGTCAATTCCACACATGTATATAAATGAAGGGAAAAAGTTGTGTGAGCTATTTGATATGGTTATGAGTAGCAATAATTTGTGCTCGAAACGTCATCAGTTAATATGACTATATAACACCGTGTGATTTATCGAAATAAAATCTTATCTATAATAGAGTTCACACATCCGAAGACAAACATTACACAGCCCAAGTCCTACTTCATTGTTTCACCATGCAAGGAGTTATACACAAAAACCTTTGTCTTGATCAACCAAAGCTGCCCAAAGTTAAGATTTCCTCTGCTGCCGACAACCCGTCGAAAGCATCAGGAAGCATGACTACAGAAGTGGGAGTAAGACAAGCCCACTCATCTGCATCACCACCCACTCACACAGGCACAACTGAAAGTCTTGCAAAATCTGTACACAGACACTGCACCAAGTTGAACACAACTTCTGATCTTCAAGTATTGGTTTGTACAGATTTAGTTGATTGGTTACAGGATTTCATCATGAGCTGACATTGTTTAGAGAACCAGTGGAAAACCTGAGAGTACTGGACAGCCCTATTCAGGTAGGTAGTTACCTGGGGTGCCAGTGGGAAGTCGTGATCAGTAGGGTGCAGCAGGTCGGGTGTGAGGACAAATACTCACCGAAGGCATTGGCTAGCGGTTGCGCTATATCGTGAATTGGCAGAGGTTAAAATCCATGAGCCATTGGATTGGGTCCCAGAGGCTTAATGGTCTACGAGCTCTCCTTGTAACCAGAAGGTCCTGAGTTCGAACCCTGGTGGGTGCGTACTGCTGAAGAGTCCCAAACTTGGAAGAAACCGTTGTCCAGTACTCCCAGGTTTTCAAATGATTCTTTAACCAATTTCAGTTCATGATAAAATCTTGCAACAACTCCTGAACGTCGGCGAAACCGTTTACAAGCACCAGCATGCGACCCCAGTAACTAGGTCCAACTAAATGTCTTTTATTTGGACCAACTCTTCAATGTACGCATTTACAGCTCGACTGTCAGAAGAATAGCAAATTACAGACTTGTTCAAGTACAAATCACACCGTCAGCGACACACACACACACCACTAGAGATGACAATATCAGCTCTATATAGTTTAATCAATTGGTGAAACTCCGATTCCCCGCAGTAACAGATCTTTCTTACTCATTCGATTATCTATCAGCTACAGCTCGTGTGTGTGAACACTGCTTGTCATATACTACTCACTCACTCAGATCAAAATAATAAGTATGACTGTATTCCAGCCGGAGATTCACTAGTTAAAAGTCAAGTGGTTAAACAAGGTAGTCAGGTCACTCAACCACCTCAACGTATTACCACGACAGCGAGGCGAGGCCAAAGAGTTCGATTTCTGAGAGACACACCCCAAAACACTTCGTTTACTACTCGTCGCCAGTAAACTCGGAGAACACGAGGGTTTGGGAGTAAGATTAGCAATCCTACAACTCCGTGGACGAACAACACAACTAACGAGACTTCAAATGCCTCAGGTTCCATCTTCTACTTGGGACTCATGGAGTGAGAAATAAAAAAATTCCAACTCAATTTGGCTAAATGTCTTTGTGTATCAACATGGTCATCATTGTCAACCTTCTCCTATAAATAACTCACCGACTACTACTCCATAACACTTACGGTATGTTAGTCTCGCATGATTCATTAGTCCGTCACTTGGAATTTCACTAAAAACACACTAAATTTTGATATAAGAAAAAACTTGTGCACTGTGGTAGAGTGTAATTCCATTATGGGTAAATTTTGTTTTGACAGAGTCTCACAGTGTTATACAGTAATGTTTACTGCGTGACGTTCCGAGCACAATTTATCACTGCTCGTAATCATATCAAGTTAATCACACAACTTCGTAAATTCATTTATATATAGTCCCTTTGTTTTTCACTTGATTTGATTGATAGTATGAGTGATGAATCATTTCTATTGCATGTGTTGGGTGTAGACTCGATGAACAAGGATTCCGTAATCAACCTCTCCACCTGCATAGATTACTGTTTAGAATTGTAACCCTCTCCCACTCTATTATATGGTTGTGTGTTAATGCATGCAGTGCAATGCAGTGCTGAGCTTTTTTCTAAATTACTTATCTTCTCGGGGTCAGTCATTCTTACCTTAGCTAAATTCTTATGTCCTGACAGTCTGACTACCCTTGACCTACTAGTATGACCTCACAGTCATTGCCGGGTATTTTGTAAATTATACTATTGTGTCTAATTGGGTCAACTGGGTCATTTAACCTACAGAGCTTGCCCCTGAGTGAGTTTGTAGGAGGGTTTAAATGCCACTTTAATTCCTGCTTTATTTAGAATCCTACGTAGGGTCTCAGATGTCCCCTCTTTATGTGGTATGACTGTAGATGACTTATATTCTCTCTTATTTATGTTATTATTACTAGTTTCACAATTATTTTTATTTTGGCCTTTTTCAACCTTCCTAATGAATTTAAAGGATAGTTATTTAACACCAACGCCTCTTCTATCTGTTTTATTTCATCATTTAGGTAATTTTATGTGCTACTTGGTGCCACTGCTTGGTTTGTTAAATACTTAACTAAGCCTGCCTTAACAGTTAACGCATGAGATGAATTAAAGTCTAAATATATATTATAATGCGTTGGTTTTCTATAAACACTAGTGTGTAGTTTGCCTTCTATTCGTTTTATTTTACAATCTAGCATAGCTAATTCTCCTTGTTCATTTTCCGCTTCAAATGTGAATTTTATTCGCTTCACTAGTGAGTTTATGTGTGTCAAGAAGCTAGAGATATGTTCTGTTTTTAACACTGTGAAAGTGTCATCCACATATCTCCACCATATTTTTGGAGTAGGATTAAACGTATTAAGAGCCATATTTTCCCAGCTATCCATAAATATATCTGCTACGATAAGGGATATTGGTGATCCCATTGCTACACCTTCAGTTTGTCCATATATTTCGCCTTGGAATTTAAAGATACTAGATGTGAAGCACAACTGAATTCCTAAAATAGTTTCTTCAATGGGTAGTTTCGTCCTATAAGTGAGTTCAGGGTCTACAGTTAATTCTTTTTTAACTGCTTCCAAGGCCATACTGATTGGTATGTTAGTATAAAGACTAGTTATATCAAAACTAACCATTATTTCATCATTCTTTAGTTGAATGTCATTTAGTTTACTTTTCATCTCAAATGAATTAGCTAGTCTAGATTTTGAGCGATTTCTAATGGGGCATAATATTGGAGCTAAGTGATTTGGTAATTCATAAGTAGGAGTATTCCTAAAGTCTACTATTGGTCGTATGGGGTACCCCCTGGTTTATGTATTTTAATAGTACCATACATTCTACTAGCATTATTAGTTTTAGGCATTAAATTAGACCATTTTGACTCACCCAGTGACGGCTTTATTCTGTGTATTAATTCCGCTGTGGAATTTTTAACCTTATTCATTATTGTATCTACAGGCTTCTTAATTTTCTCATATGAACCCATCTCAATATGTTCAGTGACTTTCTTCATATAGTCAGATTTATCCAAGACTACTGTCGAGTTTCCTTTGTTAGCTTTTGTAATGACGATGTTTTTATCCTGTTTTAGACTTATTAAAGCTAGTCTTTCCGATGTTGTTAAGTTTGATTTGGTTTTCTTTTGGTTTTTCAGGGTTAATGCACATTATGCTCGAAACGTCATCAGGAAACATTACTGTACAACACTGTGAGACTTTATCAAAACAAAATTTACCCATAGTGGAATTAATTACACACTAAATTTTCACATTCAAATTTTTTGTGCAAATCAGACAGGATATGGAAATAAAATTACTCTAATTGATGAAATCTATCACCACATCACATCAATTACGCATCTTCATTCTCCGCGAACACTGCTCTCTCACAGTCGAATACATATTCATACGTAAGTCAAAAATTTTAATTGTTCGATTTTTCCTATGGGGCTGCAGTAGTTCACTCATTTACTAACTACTACTCGACTACCAAACAACTGAGTCACACAAATTCTAACCCTACCCTATCATCATCACCAGCACCACCACCACCTATCAAGGTTAGTACAACCATGAGAGTAGTGATAGAAGTATATATGTATCACTAGTCAACTGAATGGGCATCCAAGTGATTGGTTCTCTTCACTACACAGTGGAAAAAAAACCAACACCACAGAACCACGGAAACTTCAAACCATCCTACATTTCCACTTGAAATACAAAGAAGGCTGTCATCCATCGAATGGAAACCGATAAGTTCGACGACTTGTGGCTGGCTAGCTGGTTGGCTGAAAGTGAAGTGCAGGCGATATGATGCCACAAAGAAGTGAAAACTAGCGCATATTATTTACTTATCGAATCAGATGAAGACGACAAGTGAAGAAAACAAGAGATTCTCTCTTTCTCTCTCTACACTGAAATCAAATCAAAAACAATATAAACACAATTATTTCATTGCTTACCTTCTCGTCATTTGTAATTCCATCTAATTTATTCATTAATGCATACACTTGATCAAATTTTGGTTTAAATTCTGTAGTTATTAAATGTAAATATTTTTGAAGCACTGATGAGAGATCCGAAATTCTATTCAGTGCTTCAAATCTTCCATGAATATCTGATTCAACATTATCCAACTGAATTTCTATTTCTGATATTAATTTTGGTAATGATTCACAATTGTCTATCAATGAATATTGTAGACTTTCATAATCTTCATTGACGCGTTGAAGTTTATCTTTATATGATTCTATCTAAAATTAAAAATGAAAAAATAAGGCAAGGGGGTGGGGGGGAAAATATCAGTTAACAATGACAACTATTGACTGACAGACCGACAGCCAGACAGACTGGATTGACTAAGTTTCTCATGTGGGACTTTGTACAGAAGTGCATGGTGTGTAGCAGTAGCGTAGTAGTTCAAGTTGCTTGACAGCCGTCTGGAAGGACATTAAAGATTTGATATGTATCCATATAATGTGTGTTTGTTTGACAGTCTGATATATTTTGCTATGTATATATGGATCGATATTCCATTATAATTAGCCAATCATGTTAAGACTGTCTATTGATTTGTTCATTTTGAATATTCGCTCACACACTTGTGTTCACACACTTGTTCGGACATTCACACTAAATTGCTCTCACACACTTGTGTGACATTGATTCTCCTTGTGTTTGGAAAATAGAAGTATCATCGCAAACCTAGTGGTCTTCTGATTTCCGTCTTTCTTGCGTCAGGACTATTAAATTCTCGACCAGTACATAACAAGATTATACTCTTATACTTAAGTCATCTACAGGAACATGTTTTTTATTTCAAACCTATTGCTATTACCTCTCTTTTGTCTAAAAACTATAGGAAAGTTACTCTTACTCAAACCTAAAAATTCACCTAAAAGCCTTTAACAACACCCCAGAAACAATTCGCCTACAAAATAAACACAGTAAAAGTACTTTAGATGCAGTTGCAGTCTTGCATGCATAACATTCTCCCCAGTTCAGACAAAGGGGGGGGCGGGCTAAATTTGTTCGATGCACCTTCCTAGATTACACATCTACCCCTTCGACTCAGTCAGTACCTAAGGAAATTTTGTTAAATGAGCTTGCTGAAACTCAAACTGACTGTTGGGTTGTCACAAATGGCTGCATTCTTATTTCTCAGGAAGAAGGTAGTACACTGTATGTCAAGGAAAGTCGTCAACTTTGTTGCTTACTAAGACTGGTGTCCGTCAAGGCGCTGTCCTTTCTCCTTTTCTGTTTTCTTTCTTCTTGAATGACTTGTCTCGCTCTAATGATGAAATGAAGTTTGTTAAGTATGCCGATGATCTAACCATTTCAATGTCTGTTAACTCCCAGCTAGACTGTAATAAGATGAACAGCTTTCTATCAGGAATTAGCTTTAAACTAAATCCTTTCAAATATCAGACTGTTAATTTCAGTTTCCGATGTAAAAGAAAGTTAAATGAAGCTGTTGGTTCCTTTGACCATTGAAAAATTGATGATAGTGATATAGACATCAAGTCTGAAGTTAATTATTTTGGATTAATTCCCACATCTTAGCGATTTTTAAAAGAATATTTCGTCTGACTTTTTACACTAAGAAGTGGAGGCACTCAGGCATAACTTAACCTCTTCTCTCCATACAGTTTGTCAACTCGTGCATCTTACCTATTCTTCGCTATTGTTCACCCTTATTCTTTCCTGGATTGCTTAAAAAAGACTATGTCATACTTCGTAGAACTCTGAAGACTGTCTGTCAGTAGAGCGAGTGGTATCCCACTGAGCCATATCGTTGACATTGTCACTGATAGGCACTTGATGTTATGCAACAAATTTTGTCAGACTCTGAGCACCCACTCTACCCGCAGCTCCAACCTTGTGTCTCCTCAGGTAAATGAATGAGTTAGTGTTATAAACGACATTAATGTTTAAGTAACATCAAATCAATAATATTGATAAATTACACCTGAATCGCATCAACATAGAATAAGCTGAATGTCAGAAACATTAAGAAAGATAATAGTACAAATTCATGAGTTTATAGCTTCTACTGAAGGCCAGGGCAATAGTAGGGGTTGGACTTGCTTCTTTTGGACACAGAGTGCTGGTTGTTTGAGGCGAATCGCGATAGCCTCTGCTATTTGGTGCCTGCGGTGCTTCGATGTTCTTGGTAATTTATTTGGCATCCGGTATAATATAGAGAAGGATTCATCTACGCTGGCTTTGTGTCCTGTTTGCACCAGATGTTCCAATATGGAACTGTTAATAGTTTTCACTACACCTTTACGTAGTCATGCTGGGAGATGTTCTCGAGCACGAAAAATCAAGTTCCTAGAGCAACGGCCAATATAACTGGCTCCACTAGCGCAGTTGAATTGATAGATACAATTAGAAGTGGCTAGTCTAGGTACTTCATCTTTCAGTCGAGGAATCACCATCGGTCGTGTAGAGAATAAGACGTGCAGTTCGCCAGCATTAAACCTTCTTTAAACTGATTTTCTTAATTTCTTCGTAATTATTTCATTTGGTATATCGCCCTTGAATTGCAGTCGTATATAAAGAGGCTTCTTTTTTACAGAAAGTGAGTGCTTCTTTTTTATTTGCCATATGTTTCTTGATAAATTTTTCGGGATACCCATTTTCGATCAAAGTATCATATACAATGCTTAATTCATCTTCAATTACTTCTTCTGATCATATAGCTGTAACTCTGTGGCTTAGGGTCTTCACTAAATTTCTTTTATACTTGATAGGAACGAAGCTGTGAAAATGTGTATATTGTCCTGTCCAAGTGCTTTTTTATGCTACCATCTGGTTTTCTGGTAAGTAGGACATCCAGGAAGGCAATTCTGTCTTGAAATTCCTCTTCACATGTGAACTTCGTAGCCGAATGTGCTTCATTGAATTTAGTAATTATTGTACTCTTATCAGAACCATTCTCACAAAGAATAAAGGTATCATCCATATATCGGCAATAAAATGGGAACTTACTGATAAGGTTGCTCAGAGGTCCATTTTCTAGCTTACTTAGAAAGAAATCAGCCAGAATGGGACCCAATGGGGAGCCCACCGCCACCCCGTCAACTTGTCTGTAAATCATGCCGTTAAATTTGAAATTTACATTCATGGTACATCTTAATATCAATTCTTTCAGGATCTCAGTATGTATGCCAATGTTTATCGACAGCTTGTCCACTTGTTCACCTATGTAATTAACTGTTTCTATTAAAGGTACATTTGTGAATAATGATGTTATGTCCAGAGACATCATGGTTTTGTCCTTGATGCTAATATCTTTTATTTTGTCTACGAATTCAAATACAACTTTGACGCTATATTTCACTATCTTCTCATGCAAAGGTTTGGGAATATTTACTAACCATCTAGCTAGAGCATGGTAGGGAGAATTTTGCATATCAAGTATTGGTCTTAATGGTACCCCTGTTTTATGCACTTTAGGTAGGCCATACAGTCTTGGCGTATACGTGCCCGTTGGTCTGATTTCTTCATATAAACTTCCAGAAAATATCTGCTCTTCCTTTAGTTTCTTCAAACGTCTGGTTAATTCATTCTCTATTTTGTTATTGAAATCTTTCTTCTCCTCAAGTTTTCAAAACTTCTGTGTGTCCTTTAATATATCATTCATCTTTTTGATATAGTCACTTCTACCAAGGAGGACTACTCCTGATCCTTTATCCGGCTTTGTGATTACCAGTCTCTCATCATTAATCAGTTTTTTCAGTTCTTCTCTGTGCTCCTTTGTCAAGAAACGTTTACTGTCGCATTTGAGGTTTTTGTACTGATAACAACAATCCACTAGACTGGATTTGAAGCGTTCTAGTTCCAGGGTGGATTATGGAACTAGATCCCTTGTTTGACTAAATAGGTTTTCAAATTCAATATCAGCATCTAAGTGATTAACTCGTTTCGGTCTATCACAAAATCGAAGGCCAAGGGGAAGTACTTCAAGTTGCACCTTATTTAATTCAACACTACTATAATTGTAGACGTACTTTTTAGGAACTGCTGGAAATTTACCAGCCTCTGGCTTCCTTTCATAAGCTCTATCTGCTTCTTTTGTGCCCTTTGTTCACTAACTTGAGTAACGTATTCCAAAAAAGGCGTTCTAAGATCTTCTGGTAGTTCATCCACCGCATGTTCCCTGCGAGCGATATTCATTTCATTTCTTGTATGAATGTAGATAAAGAGTCCGCTTTGTTGAGTGCATATCGTTTCAGCGTCTTTCTATTGGGATGAACTCTGCTTCGACGTAGAGACTTTTAATAAACTTTAGGATAGTGATTTGACTCAATGCAATTGTTAATGAATCCCAATGTAGCCTTTGTTTCATTGAGCTTAGCGTTATACTTCAGGTACTCATTGGGAACCTTCAACGCTACAGGCGGCTCACAACATTTTAACTGATTAAAAATGCCCATTAAAATTTTCAAAAGAATGGATACTGAACAAAGAGTACTCTTTTCGATAAATTCATCATCAGGCTCTACATTTATACATACATTATAGTGAATGAATGAGTTAGTGTTATGAACGACATTAATGCTTAAATAACATTGTAGCGGTAAATAATTCCCCAAAATTATTGACCACAGCAATCACTCACCATTGGATGCTGACCACCACTGTTTAAGTCGACTTGTTTAGCTGAAGGCTTCCGGTCAAGCATCCCCTCCATTTGGTACCCCGTCGTGTCACGTGCACGATCACTAGCTAGCTAGGCGTTCGTGTGAAGGCTTGTTTTGGTCCCGAAATATATCACTTAGTTTGGACGATCAAATATTGACTTTTGCTTTGTTGGTACGCGAGAATAATTTAGAGGCTGTGTAAGAGAATTCCGTCAACCTTCTAAAACATCAAATCAATAATATTGATAAATTACACCTGAATCGCATCAACATAGAATAGGCTGAATGTCAGAAACATTAGGAAAAATAATAGTACAAATTCACGAGCACCGCAGTCTCCAAACAGCAGAGGCTATCGCGATTCGCCTCAAACAACCAGCACTCTGTGTCCAAAAGAAGCAAGTCCAACCCTACTATTGCCCTGGCCTTCAGTAGAAGCTATAAACTCATGAATTTGTACTATTATCTTTCTTAATGTTTCTGACATTCAGCTTATTCTATGTTGATGCGATTCAGGTGTAATTTATCAATATTATTGATTTGATGTTATTTAAACATTAATGTCGTTTATAACACTAACTCATTCATTCACTATAATGTATGTA